ACAAAATGCCTACTAACATTCAAAAGCAGTTCCAAACCACAGTCAGGAAATACCCAATTAGGCATCCTAACTGGTTGTGTAGCAAGCCCTGTAGAACAACCATCAAATCACACAGCTTATCCGTAATCGGAGTTAGAACGTGGAATGGACTTCCAGACCTTTCAAGTATCACTTGTCATCAACAATTCAAAACTAAATTCAAAAAATGTATATTTGCAGATTACTCCAGCTAACAAATATTGGGTATTCCCAGAATCAATATTTTTTTAATAGAAATAATAACTTCTCAGTTTGTTTATTTATTTAATATTGTTTACATTACTTTTTTTTTATTTGTTCCTTCTTATTTATTTTCATCGTTATGCGGTTGAATTAGTATTTCAGGCCTGGAAATTGCCTTGTAATATTTGTATTGGATGAGTGCATTTGGGTAGTATACACCTGAACATATGGTGCTTATATTTTGTGTATGTGTGAACATAAAAAAAGTCACTTGTCCACAATGTTTATATGCATATATTATTATATGTATATATTATTATTATTTATTTGCCAAGTACATGTGTACATATATATCTTTTTATATATAGTATTTTCCTTTTCAAAAAAGATAGTCAACTGCTATTGACATGTGCAGAAAATGACCCTATATCTAGTTTTCATATATATATATGCATTTATTTATTTTTTCCCCAAATTCAATAAATTTTTTCTCTAGTTTTTCTTTATTTCTTTGTACTCCTTAATTTCTATACGTTTTTGACGCAATAATGCCAATGTTATATTAGGATGATTCTCGGGAGGGCTACTTCACATAAGCTATGCTTCAGCCCTCCTGCTTCTACTAATTTTTGTTTATCTTTGTGTGTATGAATTATACTTTTTTCTTTTTTGGATGAATTAGACAAGGCAAGGCAAGGCAAGTTTATTTATATAGCACTTTTCAACACAAGGCAATTCAAAGTGCTTTACAAAAAATGAAAGAGATTAAGAAAATGTCATTTAAAATCAGTCATTAAAAAGAAAAGCTAATAAAATCAACATTAAAAGAAAAAAATACATGGATAAAAGTTACAGTGCTGTCAATTAAACATTAAAAGCAAAAGTACATGGATAAAAGTTACAGTGCAGTCTAAGATATGAATAGTTCAATTAAAAGCAGCGACAAAAAGAAAAGTCTTCAGCCTGGATTTAAAAGTAGTCAGAGTTGTAGCGGACCTGCAGGTTTCTGGGAGTTTGTTCCAGATATTTGGAGCATAATAACTGAACGCTGCTTTACCATGTTTAGTTCTGACTCTGGGGACAGAAAGCTGACCAGTCCCTGAAGACCTGAGAGATCTGGATGGTTCATAATTTAGCAGGAGGTCAGAAATGTATTTTGGGCCTAAACCATTCAGTGCTTTATAAACCAGCAGCAGTATTTTTGAAATATATTCTTTGACACACAGGAAGCCAGTGTAAAGACTTCAGAACAGGAGTGATGTGATCCACTTTCTTAGTGTTAGTGAGGACTCGAGCAGCAGCGTTCTGAATCAGCTGCAGCTTCCTAATAGATTTTTTAGTGAGACCTGTGAAGACACCATTGCAGTAGTCGAGTCTACTGAAGATAAAAGCATGGACAAGTTTTTCCAAATCCTGCTGTGACATTAGTCTTTTAATCCTAGATATATTCTTTAGGTGATAGTAGGCTGATTTAGTAACAGTTTTAATGTGACTGTTGAAACTCAGGTCAGAGTCCATGACTACACCTAGATTTCTGGCTTTATCTGTTGTTTTGAACATTGCACACTGAAGCTCAGCGCTAACTTTTATACGTTCTGCCTTGGCTCCAAAAACCATTACCTCAGTTTTATCTTTGTTTAATTGGAGAAAGTTCACATCCAGTCATTGATTTGTTCAATGCACTTACTCAGTGTTTGAATTGGAGCATAGTCTCCTGGTGAAATTGTTACGTACATTTGTGTGTCATCTGCATAGCTATGGTAACTTATTTTGTTGTTCTTCATTATCTGAGCCAGTGGTAGCATGTAGATGTTAAAGAGAAGAGGCCCCAAGATGGAGCCTTGAGGAACCCCACATGTCATATTTGTCAACTCAGATGTGTATTTACCTATAGAAACAAAGTTGTTTCTGTCCTTTAAGTAGGATTCAAACCAATTTAGAACTGTTTCCGAACGTCCCACCCAGTTTTCCAGTCGGTCTAGTAATATGCTGTGGTCAACAGTGTCAAACGCAGCACTGAGATCTAATAATACTAACACTGAAGTTCTGCCACTGTCTGTGTTTAAGTGGATGTCATTAAAGACCTTTACAAGAGCAGTCTCAGTGCTGTGGTTTGGACGAAAGCCTGACTGGAACACATCAAAACAGTTATTTAAATGCAAGAAATTACTCAACTGTTGAAAAACAACTTTTTCAATGATTTTACCTAGAAATGGCAGGTTTGATATGGGCCTGTAATTGTTCATTACTGAAGCATCTAGATTATTCTTTTTTAAGAGCGGTTTAATGACTGCAGTTTTCAGGGCCTGTGGAAAAATACCTGAGTGAAGAGATTTGTTTACTATATGAAGTAGATCTGAGGCCATGCAAGGCAAAACATCTTTGAAAAATCCTGTTGGAATAATATCAAGGCAGCAAGAGGAGGATTTCAGAAGTTGAATAATGTCCTCTAGGTTTTTATCATTAATCTGATGGAATTGTGTCATGATGTCTGAATTGATGTTAAGTGGAGATAGGGACAACACATTTGCTGTTCCTGATGCAGAGGCACTGACTGCTTGTCTGATTCTACTGAATTAGTAGAATAAACAGTAGCGTGGCGTGGGGAAAAAATTAAGGGAAGCCAATAATACCTCCTTTCTTTTGGGTCGGGGGTGTGGTGGTCAATGTAATAACGTAACCAGATGAGTTACCCGGTATCATTTTACACACATTTGTATCATACAGATGCAGGACTTACACACGCCTGTTATCTAACCGACAGGTCCGCACGCACTCTCCGGCCGAAACTCTAATAAGCATTCATTCACAAACTAAATCAGGAGACCTTTAACGTTTTACGTCCGACTCGCTCCTTTTTTCCTCTCTGTACACAGCTCCAGTTTTGGCATTGGCCTGTCATCAGATTGTATTTTAGTTGCTGCTGTAGCGGAAGTTTAGTACAATTATTTTTGATTAAACACTTCAAATCTCTTCCCTCCATAATTGCACTTGCTTCAGTTGCTTGCTACTTTCTAATGGCGGTGAGAGTGGTGCAGTGACACTATCTATCTTCTATCGATTAGATTTATGATTCGAAAATTATAAAAGTAGGGTAGACATGTGGATATTATCCGGCTGAATAAAACGCGCATTTATCTAACAGGTTCGTTTTCCACTGACCTTATTTCGAGCTATTTTCCAAAATCCTATGGAGAAATCCCACTGCTTTTTTGTCGAGGGAAACTTATTGTTCTTGTTCTTGTTCTTATTATACATCCATGAGGGAAACCGAGCGCAGCTTACTTCCGGGTTTTAGGATGCGTCACTGCAACACTAAATTGATGCGATTTGATTGGATTGTGAGGCAAGGGAAGCCAGCCGCCTCTGGCTTCCCTTGACATGGCCCTGACCAATCACAGCTTGGCAGGGGCATGACGTGATGTCATGTCTGATTGGTCAATCCTTCCATTTTTTTTTCACCAAGGGAAGCCAATTTCGGCTAGCCTCCTCTCGCAACAGAGAGTGCAATCTACTGTTTCACCATAACATCTAGAGGGACGCTGTTTCACTCTTTGTAACATATTCAATGAGAATGGGGGAGAGACGGGCCGGCAGCAACACACAACAAAGAATTTCCGAAACTAAACGAAGTGTTTTTATTTATTTATTAAAATTATAAATACACTCCGAAAAAACAGGGGAAGCCTGGCTTCCCTTGGCCTCCAGGAGAAAACGCCACTGAGAATAAATAATTTAAAAAAATTAAAAATTATGCAAATTTGAATGTATGCTCTCTGGTTCTCATGCCAAGTATTGTGAATACCTTTAACTAAATTAATTAGTGCACAGTTATTATCTTTGGTTGCAGAATCTTAAAATGCATGTGAAGAATACTCATTTGTTGTTCATTCGGTTCCTTTTTGGCTGCAGAAGGTAGTCTGCTTTCACTCCAACCAATAACGCTTGCCCCCTTCTCTCCACATGGTTTTACTATAATCACACACCGATGCATTTGTAAACATCACCTCCACCGTCACATCATCGATGCTTTTCCTTGATTTGACTACTCTATAATAAGCAAAGTTGTGCTTCAGTTAAATGTCCATTGAGTGATTTTCACAAGTTTATACGTAAGATACCTGTGAGAAGCCGCATCATGTAACACCGCTCTCCTATTCCGCAGTGCCCGACTCTATAGCTAATAATAACACACACACACACACACACACACACACACACACACACACACACACACACACCACACACACACACACACACACACACACACACACACACACACACACACACACACACGAGGGCTGGATGTTAAACCGGGCGGGTTGAGTGACAGCAGGTCCAGCATTATGTAAATTAGCGGGGTAGTGCAGCGGCAGCGCGGGGAAGATTAGGACTGTGCTCGGGATCAGTGAGCCGCCTCCTCCTGCACGAGCAACTAGTGCCGCTGTTTTCCTCACAAAACACCACTCCGTGCTCGCCTCAGTACCCTTTCTATACGCATTTCCTAAACACATTTTTTAATCATATGAATCGTTATTTTTGTAACCTTCCTTCACTGTAGACGGCTGAAAATGGATAAACGCTGATATTCCCGCGGGCACGCGCAGCTCGCTCGCAAACCCCTCCCCCTTCACATAGTTAAACCAGCGCTACATCAAAGCGTCACTCACTTTGGGAAAATAGACCCCCTGACCCCTAATAACCTGTAATAATACACTACTTAAAGGCAGTGTTACATATTTGTGCAGGACACAGAGCTTCTGTTGCCGTCCCTATTTTATAATGTTGAGGCAGTGCTGTGCTCTGTGCTGTGCTTGGTTTGGGTTTTAGAGAGACCGAGCTGTAAGTAGGTCGGGCTGGGCTTAAGCGGCTTAACTACGTCAGCCTAAGCTGGGAGGAATTCATCCAAAGCCCTCCGCGGTAGGCGGGGGCCTAAACGAGGCTGGCCTAGTTAAGCCTGATTCTTATTGTGTGCAGCACAGGCTGTTTTTGTTGTGCAACGTGGCTGAGAGGGAACCTAGGAGTAGAGTATAAATCCATGCACATTTTAGAAATGGCATATGTTTGATTTAGAAGTAGAATAGAAGGTACATTTGAGATATATGGGAATGAGACCAGAGTTGGTTTTATCACCGTGGACCAGGATAACCCAGCAGCAGGGACAAAAAAGACAGGTGGGAAGAGTAAGGAGCGTCAGTTTTGAGAGTGGCTGCTGAACGCAGAAAGCCATAGGCTGGACTTGGCTTACGAGGGACCGCTATGCTATAAGATGGCATCCAGCTCTGTGTTTTTGTCCAGTATGGTGGGTAAAGCTCGCTCGTCCAACTTCACCCTCTCTGAGAAGCTGGACCTGTTGAAGCTGGTCCGTCCTCACATCCGCATCCTGGAGGAACACACCAACAAGCATGCAGTCATCGTGGACAAAAACAAGTGCTGGGAAACTGTTGCCGAGCTATACAACGCTTTGGGAGGAGACAGACCCCATCGCACCGCTCAGGGCCTCAGAACCCTCTACAAGAGGTTGAAGGAGTCAGCCAAGCAGGAAGTGATGCAGCGGAGACACGCCCAGCCAGAGTACAGATCGAGCATCTCTGAGCCTACCAGGAGAATCATGGAGATGATCCCTCACCTGTTTCAGCACGTGCCCATCCATGAGAAGGACCAGGCACTGCGCAGGTACAGTGTGATATGCACCCACGAGCACAGACACTCATTTAATACAGACCTAAAGGTATAACTCGACAGTCAGCTGAAAGTTTAGCAAGAACATTGACAGTTTTAAGTCAGGACACTGACTCATCTGTTAGAGGAGGAGGGAGGGGAGGGGCTGAACTCACAGCTCAGAAACCAATCAGATAACACACTCTGTGTACATCGTAAGGCACAACAGGAAAATACAGTATGTCCTGTTGTTATTTACTGGAAGAAAACTACTCATTAGTAGTTTTTTCTTTTATCCACATAAAAAAACAGATTTTCTTTGATTAATCTGCCAATTTAATTTAAGGTCAATTGTAGTGTTTTTATTTGTTTGGAAAAGGCAATTACAAATAAAAAATTCCACCCCAAAATAATTCTTTAAACGTGTTCCAATTTCCCAGTGCTACATAAAGGAAGCAAATTTAGCAGAACAACTGATATTGTGTCAGGAAAGCACACAGAAGACAAAAAACCCTGTAGTTTCATTTCAGTTTATTTAAGACTTGGCAAGGGTTAATAGCAAAAAAAGAAAGGATAATTCGTAATACAAAAAACAGAACAATTTATCATTCAACTTAAAAAAAACATTCATCTGAACTTTGTTTTCTGAGCCTGGATGAGTACAGAGAGTCATGTACACTTACAATTGTACATCAGATGTATTAGGATGCCTCACGTCACATGTAGAACACAGAGAACACAAAATGGCACCACGCCATCTGCATACTTGAAGCAACACCTTTATTGTATCGTAAGAATAGAGCCTCTGCATACTACTCGTTGTGTAGCTGCACCAAAAATGAACCATAGACATACACAAATGTTATTTACTGTTGGTTTGTTACCAGCATAAATGTGTTATTTTTACTTTGGTAAATCGCCAATTTCCTCTTGTATAGTCTTATTTGACCTGATCCTTGAAAAATGCTGGTTAAGCACTCTCGTCTGACTTAATTGTATCCTTTATTCCATTTGTAGATTAATATACAGCAAGCACAACTCTCCTGTGGAACACCCTGGCAGCAGCTCCTCTCTGGCTGGACTCCAGGATTACTCAGCAGCTGTCCCAAGTATCCCCCATGAGGTGGTCCAGCTGGACCCTGAAGAGGATGTAAAACCACCGCCAGACCTCCCCATCCTCTCCACACACTCGGAGCCAGGGCTGGATGGAGGCCAGGAGCCGGAGGCAGAGCACGACTTGGGCAGCGTTCACGATTACGAAGCATCCCTCTCCCCCGTCACTTCCTCCGTGAACATCACCCTCTCCACATCACCGATACCGTTACGTTGCGACCTCTTTCCCAACGACCTCTACCCTCACCACGAACCTGACAGGTTTCGCTCTCTGCACCTCGCCAAAGAGGAGCACGAGTTGGTGGTAGCCAATCACAAGAAGGTTGCCCTGTACCTGGAGGAGAAGAGGGAGGGGCTGAAGAGGAAACAGGATCTGGAGGAGGAACTTCTGAGAGCCAAGATCAAAGTGGAGAAACTAAGAGCTGCTCGACTGAGACACGGACTGCCAATTCCTCTATAGTGACCATGAACACACACATCAGTGTTTGAAAAGTAGAGGCTCTGAGGAGCTTAAAGTGCGGAGAAGAAGCTGAGGAGCTATCACACTCATCAGTTTTTATTTGGAGGGCTGTTTCAGAACTTGAATTTTCTTTTGGAAACATAGTGCCTCGTACAAACACTGAAAGCCTGTTTGCATATCGCAGGATAAGCCTGACCAGTCTGTGTGTATACTTGTCATTGTTTAAATGTATCTTCATTTACACTTTTTAATAGAAGCAGTAACACAACTTGTAAATGCCCATATTATAAACACTGTGAGAGCCAAAATAGGCACAAAAAAAAGAAGTGATATCAACGTTTTGAAAGGAATATTATTAGTAATAAATGGCATGTACCACGATGGTGCTTATCCTGCCTAGATCCGCCCCTATGATGTATGCATCTGTTATCATATTATTAATGATTCACTACTAACTGGAGTATCTTAAAAAGAAAAAATCCACTTGATCTAACGAATCTGAACGAAAAAAGAAAAAAACAGTATCTTGTAGCACTTTAAGGTATCCAAGCTAGCGGCGCTTATACAGTATTCTGTATGTTAACAAGGAAATATAAGCACAAAAAAACAAAGTTACACTTTGTAAAACTGAGAAGTGTTCAGAAACCCTGCACTGAAGCACAAGTTAAACTGAAGGCCTTAAACACGAGATGCTACTGATGACAAATCTTGTTCTGTGAGTTGCTGTAGTTACATCGAAGTGAGTTCAAGTCCTAATTCTCTCTGGTTGCTGAATTAATGGCGAGTTAGGCGATCAAAAATGTGGACTTAGATTTGCGATGTTATCGTTATATAATGTATGTGACATTGATTGTATTGTAATGTTTGTTGGTATATGAATGTTGTCAGTTTCTTTTACACTTTGTGCTTATGTGTACTTGTTTTTATAAAAAAAGAAAAGAAATACTCCTGATTTTGTGTTTATTACAAACATGCATTCGCTCCGATTCGCTCTCATGATTTCAACCTCCCTTAGGAAGATCTCTTACTTTGGTGTTTTGTCAAAATCACATGATGGCAAAGGGTCCTTACACTTTTATTTCTAACAGGGCATGAGTAGCACTTAAGTTTTCGTGCTTGTGAATTTATGAAGTGGTCTATCATGTTCGATATGAAGCTCTAGTATGGTGTGTAGACTGGTGCAGCAGTGACCCCTGCTGGTGAGTTATGCAAAGTTTGTATTAGATATTTATTTTGTTTTCACAATATTATATGTCTTTGTGTTTCAGGATTAAATGGTGACCCTCAGTTGACTTCAGGGTCAATCGGTGTTTCTGGAACGGCAGGCCCAGACGCTGGCTGCAGTCAGGATGGAGTGCGGTACCTCAGTGTGATGTGGTGTAAAGCCAGTAAGAAGAAACACAAGCGCTGGGAGGGCGATGCAGTCCTGATTACAAGAGGACGCACCGCCACACTGAAAGACATGGAGGGGAAGGACATTGGAAAGGGTGAGACAGAGACACCCCAGTTTAGATTTAGTCTTTACTTATCGTCATATTAAGTTCGGTGGGAGAAAGAGGGGCGTGGCAGTTTTCTTTCCCTGTGACAGTTGAATAACCAGTACGTAGGATTCACAGGGATCAATTGGCATACAAAGAAATATGTTATTCATAACTTTGTTTTCATTAGGCTTTATCACCTGAAAAAGAGTTGTGCTTTTGTCACCTTTTTGATAAGGGATTTCAAAGTCTGAGAATGTAAGCCGCCTCTCAGATAAAGCATAAAAAAAGCCAATCCCCAAACACCCCTTTTGTCTTTTTGCTTACTTTTGTATAATTCCTGGATCCCAATTGGATTATGATTAAACTGTTTGATCAAAAAGACACCCAACAACTGAGCCATAACTTGAGTCTACACCAAATGCATAACAAATTCAGGCATTTATTAGTTAATGCTTTCCCTAAACTATGGCATCTCTTTGAACAATTAACACACATTTAAGCCACTCTATATGATCTTCTGTCAACCAATGTAATACTGGACCTAGAGAGGTCCTTTTGCATTTTTGTTACCTGAAGGCCACCGTAGTTCTCTGACATGCTTGAAAAGAGAGGGGTGAGCTTAGCGTTATTCAATTGGCTTTATCCATAGGTCCCACTGCATTCTACACACTGGTGCTTTTAAGCAAATCTTTAACATATGTCACTTTAAATGTTAATTTCATACATACATACATACATACACAAGATGTACAATTTTAAGTAGATTTACTGAACATTTAAAACTCGTTTTTTTCCCAATACACACTGTCATATGTTCATTGTGTATGCCTGTGCATGTTTGTGTGTAGGTAGCGGCTACAAGGTGTCTACGCTGACCTCCCTCTCTGATGGAGAGACCCTGATGATCGGAGGGAAGGAGGTGGAGGTGATGGGGATCATCTCAGCTGAGGACTTTGCCAGGGGACGTTGTTTCCAAGAGGTTCAGGTAGAGGGGCCAGTATCAAAGACGGCTCCACCTCCCTCTCGTGGCCCGGGGTCCAAAGCTTTCTGCTCCCCACTGCTGTCAGGCAGAGCAGATCATCCAGGGTCCAACCCAGAGAAGGAACAAACCTGCAAACCCCGCCATGACCCGCTGGCTGCAGGTGTGTAGTAATGATAATACTTCTTTATGATATGTCAGGATTGTTAGTAAACATGATTTCCAAGAACGCCAGTAAGGGTTTTACCGGGAAATAAAAGGCCTGGATGGCCAAGGAATATAAGAGCAGTATGTAAGTTATTCAGAAGCTGAACTCACGCTTTGTGCATGGGTTTTACAGTCTTAATAGGGATCAATGGAGGAATATATATCATTGGTTTTATAAAACCTAAACTTATACTCAATAGCACTATACTCATTCATTCATTCATACTTTGTTTCTCAAAATATATGTTCTCTTGTGTTGAACAATCAGTTTATGGACTGTGAAAACAAGATCATTTTACATTATTTGTTTATATATATTTATTGAACAGGGACCATGCAAAGAAATACATAAATCTCAAAGAGAGAAGAGATGCTATATGCCAGAATATAGTTTAAAGCTCATTTCCACCTGCAGTCCCTGGGCAGGTACACACATCACAATCAACAAAACATTTCCTGGTGCTTATTACACTAAAAATTAAAACAGATCAAAATAAAGATGTATAAAATAGAAATACTAGTACAATTGTCAATATATCTTTAACTTTACAGTTCATTTAAAATTGTTCATGTGAACAATAAATAAATCATCTTGTTATATTGCCTCTAGTGTGCATTATGTGGAAACATACTCAGAACTCTGGATCTTTCTCAGGCGCTCTGGTGATGCCTCGCCCCTCCGCTAACCACCAGTGGTCTAACAACAAGGCGGGGCTTCCTGTGATGGACGTTGTTATTGACCCTTACCTGACGACCCAACTGCGCCCCCACCAGAGGGACGGCCTGCTCTTCCTCTATGAGTGTGTCATGGGCTTGAGGTAATGGAGCCGTTCTTGAACCACTTATCTTCTGTAGTTCGTCTCATCAACAGATGATATTAATGTGTTTCATCGTGTAGAGCTGTGGGGCGCTACGGGGCTATCCTGGCTGACGAGATGGGTCTGGGGAAGACCCTCCAGAGCGTGGCGCTGGCCTGGACGCTGCTTAAACAAGGCCCATACGGGGGGAAACCGGTTGCTAAGCGTGTCCTCGTGGTCACTCCTGGTAGCCTAGTACACAACTGGGGGGCGGAGTTTAACAAGTGGCTGGGCCGAGAGCGGATCAACGTTTTCACTGTGGATCAGGTGAGGAGGGGGGGGGGGGGGGGGGGGAATTATTTATTTGATGAACAAGAGAGAGACCTCAATTGTCTGAAATGACATGTTGTGTGTTTTAAGAGATTTCAGCATCTGACATGTAACAAAACAACATAATGAGTAACAGTGAAAGCTATCATAACTAAAGTTATTTAAAGTCATGCATAATATATTTTTTTAAACCGGCCATTTAAATTGTGTATTGTGTATTTGGTACCTCTGTGCTCTTGTTGAATTCTGTGTCTAATTGATATTGAATTTACGGTGATCTGTGACTTCTCCTGATCTGTTGGCCTTTTTTCTGAATCACCTTTTTTCCTTAATCTAGCATATATGAAGTCATTAATGTTATTCATCCTTTGTTGACATACGTACAGGACAACAGGATCGAGAAGTTTGTGTTATCTCCTCTGCACAGCGTTCTTGTGATCAGCTATGAAATGCTGCTGCGCTGCCTGGACCAGGTACGTTCACCTTGTCTGTCAAGTGTGCATTCTACAATTAAATTAGCCTTTATTGTCTTTCGTTATATTGATGTATCTCATGATTACAGGTACAGAAAGTGGAGTTCGGTCTTGTGATTTGTGACGAAGGCCACAGATTAAAGAACAGCAGCATCAAGACGTCTTCAGCCATCAGCAGCCTGAGCTGTAGTCGCAGAGTCATACTGACAGGTACTCACCGTCGCTGAGATACAGAGGAAGCTGGAGGAAAACTGTCTCTGACAAACAATGCACAACGAAACGTGTCTTTGTGTTTTGCAGGCACCCCGGTTCAGAACGACCTGCAGGAGTTTTATGCGATTATAGAGTTTGTTAACCCGGGCATCCTCGGGTCATCCACTGGGTATAGGAAGGTTTACGAGGAGCCCATTCTACGCTCCAGACAGCCCGGCTGTGCTGAGGTAATACAACCTCTGACCTTTTTGTTTTTTTATTTCGATATAGTCACAGTACATACACTGCATATATACACTACAGTACATACACTGCATATATACAGTACATACACTGCATATATACACTACAGTACATACACTGCATATATACAGTACATACACTGCATATATACAGTACATACACTGCCAATGCACATTTGGGAATCAACTATTGTATTCATGTGTTTTTCTTTCTCTCTACAATAGCTATTCTTACAGAGCCTAAAACGGTTTAATTTAGGGACCAAATCTATGTTTTGTGCCCCCCAAAAAATAAGCATTTCATTACTTCCATTTAGTCGATGTCCCTGTCACAACAGGGGAGAATAAAACAGATTTTTTTATCTGTTTTCCAGCCCAGAATTTTTTTATTGACCCTCGATCTTTATATAACTGCAACGGGACAATTGCGCTCTAAACGTTGTGTGAACTGTGGACCCAATCTTTTCTTTGGCTTTTATGCATTCAACTCAGTGGTTATATTAAAAAACATTTTTATAAACTACATTTTAAGTCCAAAGCCTGTTAAGTAAATGTCCCTTATCCAATTTCAACTTTGGAAACCCAAGAGTTACTATATAATATACATCTTCAATTAATTGTGCACTTAACACCGATTAAGGAACATGTGCCGATTTCAAAACTGCACACATTGCTTCATGCAAAGTCAAATTTATTTTGAAAGAGGACTTGTTATACTTTAAAAGCCTGAAACATCATTCATAAAAATAAGGATATAACTCAGCCAGCAGACTTTACCTGATCAAGCTTGTGGCATGCAATTCCAAACATTTGAATGAGTGTATAAAGAAAACGTTATCTGGCAATAAACCTGATTTAATTTCATCTCTGCCGTCAGGAGGAGAGGGTTTTGGGGGAAGAGCGAGCGGCGGAGCTCTCTCGTCTGACCGGGATGTTCATCCTGAGACGGACGCAGGAGATCATCAACTGCTACCTGCCTCCTCGTCTGGACTGGACGTTGTTCTGCGAGCCTTCCCCTCTGCAGCGGGACCTGTACCAGCAGCTCCTCGGCCACAGAGTCTTCAGAGCCTGCCTCCAGGGCTCCACGCAGACTCACACTCACCTGGCCTGCATCACCGCCCTGAAGAAGCTCTGCAACCACCCCGGGCTGCTGCACTCCACCGTGAAGGTAACACTCTCTG